GGAGTGTTTGCGTGTATTTATGTGTTTGTGTTTGCGTATGTGTTGAATAAACAGGGAGAGAGAGAGAGATAGATAGAGAGAGAGAGACAGAGATAGACAGAGAGAGACAGAGAGAGACAGAGAGAGATAGTAGTGAAGGTGGAGACAGAGAGAAAGAGAGAGAGAAAGAGAGAGAGAGAGAGAGAAAGAGAGAGAGAGGCAGACGGGGACAGAAGGAGAGAGAGAAAGAGAGAGTGAGACAGAGATAAAGGGAGAGGGAGAGATAGGGGGGAGACAGAGGCAAAGAGAGAGATATACAGACAGAAAGAGAGAGTGAGAGAGAGAGAGAAGGAGAGAGAAAGAAAGAGAAAGAGAGAGAAAAAGAGAAAGAGAGAGAGAGTTGGATTGATAGAGAGAGAGAGAGAGAGTAAGAAAGAAAAAAAGACAGAGAGAAAACCGGTTCAGCCAGCACGGTGTGTCATCCAAACCTGAGGACAGCCCTACCTCTGCTCCCATAGCAAGTTTTGGTTTGTTGTTGGTTACAGGCCCATCGTGCGGGGAGTTGGCACTGAGGGAGTGAGCACTCGGACAGAGAAAACAGAACAAAAATATACGCTCGTATGCTTTTCTCTTTCTGGTTTTTCTTTCTTTCTTGCCTCGCCTCTTATTTTCTTTTTTTTTCTTTTTCTTCTTTTTCTTTCTTTTTTTCTTTCTTTCTTTTTTCTTTTTTGTTGCCACCCTCCCTCTTTCATTCATTATTTTTTCTTTGCCTTTCTTTCTTTCTTTTCTTTCCTCCCTCCCTCTTTTTTCTGTATTTTTTCTTTCTTGCCTTCCTCTTTCTTGTTTTTCTTGCCCTCTTTCTTTCTTTCTTTCTTTCTTTCTTGCCCTCTTTCTTTCTTTCTTTCTTTCTTTCTTTCTTTCTTTCTTTCTTTCTTTCTTTCTTTCTTCTTTCTTTCTTTCTTTCTTTCTTTCTTCTTTCTTTCTTTCTTTCTTTCTTTCTTTCTTTCTTTCTTGTGAAAGAGTGACGGAGGGCACTTGAGACGGTATTGAGATCTTCTTTTATAAGAGAACAAGGGAAATGCACTAGGTGTGACTGGGTGTCGACTAAACTGTCTTTACAACCAGGCTGCAGTACTTTGTGGGACTGTTTGCCTTGAAGGACATTAATTTACTTTATGGGTCGTTCGCTTTTCTTTTTTTTTTTTTTACACGTGTATTTGCATTTTAACGAAAAAGAAAACAAGACGAAAAAAACCAAACCCACCAATAACTTTGAAAACCATGGTGTGACCCTAGCACCTTTTTGTTTTGCTACTTTTAAGATCGTATTTTCTGTTGTGGATGGATGGGGTGAATGGGATGGGGGGGGGGTGTAGTCATAAATTCTGCGAGGGTGCAATTCAGAAAGTTTAGTTGAGAAGATAACAAGAATATGCTATGAGTTTGTCGGATCTTTAGAAGTATTGAGTCCTTATTCATTCAATCCGCTGCTATAATTAATATGATGCCTTCAGATTTTGAGTAAAACTGTTTCCTCAGATACTTAACATTTTCAGAACTAAGTAAATAAAGGCTCCCCCCTCTCTCTCTCTCTCTCTCTCTCTCTCTCTCTCTCTCTCTCTCTCTCTCTTTCTCTCTCTCTCTCATTCACTCTCTTTCTCTTTATCTCATCTCATTCTCTCATTCTCTCTCTCCTAGATCTCAAAACGTTGTTGCTATCATAAATTTCCCTTACTGAAAACCTTATTGTTACTTTTAATTGTCACCGCTTATCTGACTCGTAGATAACAAAACTTTACTTTTTAGTTTAATCACCAACCTTCTTCTTGACTAGCAGAACTGCTCTGTTAAGTCACACGGCCATTCCTTTTCTTGACTTGTCGAGCATAATACTTCAACAAAATGTCACGTCTAAGGGAAACTATCCTCTTATTTCTCATGTTCACATTCCCCTGGCCAAAATCTTTTCATTACCTCCCTTTCCCTTTTCCGGGCATGCCCAAAAACCCTTACTTGAAGAAATTATATCGTGTATATTTTGCACCATGACAACCACACTCCCCCCTCCCGACCACTTTATCCTGAGACGCTCGGGCACGTAGGGTCTAGTGCGACACACACGATGTTACAGTATAGAAATTTAGACCGATGTGTCTTTTTATAGTAAATAGTTGGACAGGTCGATAAACAGTTGGTAGTTAAAGAGATAGGGAAGTATACAAATGGACTGATCACAACATACGAGTTTGCTTTAAAGAATGTCTTTTTTTTAGGTTGATCTATCTGTGTTTAGAAAATGACGAGATAGATCGATATTTGCATATAGAGAGGTAGAGGAATACTTTTTTTTTTTAAAAGATTGATTGTTTTGATTAATGTCTGTTATCATTGACCTGTCTGTTTCTTATGAATATATGGGTGGATTAATAATATAAACGTGATAAATAGACAGAAGGAGAAATAGGACCAAAAAAGAAGGTTGTTATTTCGACCATTGACAGAACGAAAATCGATACAAAGCTAATGAGAGTTTACAGGCAATTGACAATCAGTGGACAACAGATGAGCATAATATGTTCTTACAAGCACGGTTGTGCTCCGATCTGATAAATCGGATGGATGGATTAGGAAACGACAGTCAACGTTCATAAGTCATGTGCACAATGCTTTGGTTGGTGGTTGGTTGATACATGCTCTAGTGTGGTTAGCTCCTTCTTTCCTATCAAACATCTATCGTCCTTATATCTCCTCCTTCTTTTTTATGTTTGTTACTCTTTTGTAACACCTCTAATCTTCGGCGCTTATATGACCTTATTGTGTTGCAAGTGGCGTGAAACTCTTACTAAAACTAAAACACAATGCTTTAATAAAAAGTCATCAAGGCTTTAGCGAATCAATAACATTTATTTTTCTTCATTAAAAAAATTTATTTCAAGAATACCAGCATACAAAGTTTCTTATCAATAGTAACACACATGTGAAGAAATATCAGTAAAATGGAGATTTTTAACAATGGATTTCACAGAATACAAAGTAGATTGTAGTGTCCTCGATAACAAAGTATCACAGAAGGCTATAACAAGGACCGGCTGCTCTTGTGTTGAAAAAAAAATAGTAACAGTTTATGTGTATACATTTAGTTTAAGTTGGAGGGGGGGGGGGGTTCTTATATTATGTCATTACATTTATTTCCTGAAATTTCGTAAGTCTCACTGAAGGCTATCACAAACCAGCTGTTCTCTTGTTTAAAAAATAATAATGGCAGCTTCTGTGTATACATTGGTTAATTGTTAAGTTGGGGGGAAGGAGGGGTGTTTCTTTTTAGTATTTTAGCATTTTTATTTCCTGAATTTTTTAAAAGTATCACAGACGGCTATCACAAACAGGCTGTTCTTATGTTAAGAAAGGCAAAAACCAACAAAAACCAACAAAACAATAAAATAGCAGTTTATGTGTATACATTTAGGAAGAGGGGGGGCTATTTAACATTTTAGTATCATCATTTCCTGAATTTCCGTAAAATATTGGACCCCCGCCCATGTCCCTTCTTGTTGGGGTTAGACACTCGGTGCACAGGGGAGGCAAATCTGACCCGGTTCCGGCCCCTCTCTGGACTGCCAGTTGTCACCCTTGCCCGGAACCCCGTGACCACTTCGGAGTCGGAGGTGTAGCCCGCCGCCCCTCCTCCTCCTCCTCCTCCTCCTCCTCCCCCTCCCGTGGTGGTGATGGAGTGAGAAGAGCGCCAGCCTGAGTGGTGTGTGGACGTCCCCTCGTTCGGATCCTCCTGTGGGTAGTAGTATCCCTGTGGCGTGCGGTCTGAGCTGACGCTACGTTGGTGGGCGGGGGTCGGTTTGTGGGGATGGCGGGGGTTCTTTTCTCGAGAGGTGGATCGTGCTGGGGGTGGGGGTGGTGGTGGTTTAATGTCTTCTTCTGCCCCTGCTGTTTGTGGTGCGTGGTTTTGATAGTTGTAGTAGTCGTGGTTGATGTGTCGTTGTTGGTTGTGGTGGTTGTTGGCTTGGTTGTATTCGTCCGGGTAGAAGAAATTGTGTTGGCTTTTACTACCGTCGTGGTGATGATGGTTGTTGTTGCTGTTGGTGTTGCTGTTGTGGTTGTGATGGTAGTCGGGGTAAGCTTGCTTCGGATTTTGTTGGTAGTGGGGGCTGTGGTGGCTGTGGTGGTGGTGGTTGTTGTTGTTGTTATTGTGATGCTTGTTGCTGTTGTTACCGTTGTTGTGGTGGTTGCTAGGACGTTGCTGGGTTGGGGCGGACCTCGCAATAGGCGACTGGTATACCGGGTCGTACTCTTTTTGATGTGGTTGGTTGTTGTGATGATGCTGGTTCTTGAACGAATGCCCAATCCCGTGTGACTGCTGCTGCTGCTCCCGATCCCCATACCCATCACTGTGACCTTTGCCCTTTCCGGACGGGGTCACGACGATGTTGGGCGTGTCCAGCGAGCCGTAGACCACCCTCTCTCCTCCCCCTGCTCTCCTGGAGGCCGCGGCGATGTTCTCGTAGCTCGCCTGGAGACTCGGGTTTCCTCGGAACATCTGGGCGGGGTCGTTGCACCGCCATTGGTTGCTGTAGGAGGAAGCCCCGCCCCCGTGTGTAGGCACCGCCTTCTCCGACTCGGAACGTTTCGTCGGTCGTGACGAGGAGGAGGTGCTAGTGTAGGAGGAGGAGAATGTTGTTGAGGAGGAGGAGTTGGTGGAGGAGGTGGTTGGTTGTTTGCTCTTTGAGGAAGACACGGACGTGGACGTGGCTAACATCCGCGCCATTTTGTTCTGGAGGTCGGCTCGGCTTTGACGCTGTAAGGATTGCTGTTTTGTCACTGGTTGTTGTTGTTGCTGTTGTTGATGGTTTTGCTGAGGATGCTGTTGCGTGCGTTGTTGTTGGCTGGGGTGGTTACTTTGTGATGATGGTGGTTGTTGTTTGGCGTTGTTGTTGTGGTTACTGTCCTGAAAAGCCTTCCCTCGGGCTCTATGCATATTCATAAGGTATTGCTGTGAGGCTCCGCACCCTACACCGTTGAGCTGTGACACGCTCGTGGTTTCCGCGTCCTCTTTGCTCAGCGCTATTTTTAGACTCTCCTCGCTGGCGTGACGTCGGATCTTGGGCGCCGGGGGTGGGGCTACGTTGGTTAGAGACTCCGCCCTTTTCGGTGTGGGTTCCGTGTAGACCACGTTGATAGAGGTACTGGTGACCACTGGGGGTGTGGGCGGTGCGCTGTTTTGGGTGGAGTCTGGTGGTGTGGGGTTCGAATCCGCTTTAGCCGCGGTTGTTGATCGGAAAGGGACGTCGTTGCGATGAGTCTGCTCAGGTACTATGAGAGAGTATCTGGGAGAGAAAGAGAAAGTGGAACAATAGTCAGAGACCGCAACTGTGTCCATGGGTCTCTCTGTCAATCCGTCTGTTTGTCTTTTTTTTAAGTCAATCTGTCTTGAGTGTGTCTGCCGGTCTGCCACCCTTTATTCATCTGTAAGTGTTGTTGTAAGCTGCATGTTTACATTTCTTTTAGTCTATCTCCTCCTGATCCATTCTAATAATTTCGATATTGATTTAGACGATTCTAATTGTTTTCCCTTTGCTTGACCCTGTTTTTGATTTTCTGTCCAAACTCCTCTTCTTGTTTACGAGAAAGTTAAATTCAAAACCTCTACTAAAACGAAAAGAACTGAGCAAATCATGTATCTATGAGTACCTGAGTCCGACATTGTGTTTATGCGTGAGCTGTATCTCCTGTGGTTTCACCAGCTGCGACTGTTTCTGCACCAGTCTCTCCAGCTCGTCTTCCAGACGTTTGACCTGTCGTTTGGCCTGTTCTCTCTCCTCTACCGCCTTCTGACGTAGCTGTGGACAGACAGAAGGGATTGTTACTGTCTTCCTTTTTTTTAAAACGTTTTTTTTAAGATTAATTTTTTAATATTATTTTTGTATGATTTCTTTCTGTTTGTCAATCTATGTATCTCCATTTCTTTTTCTGTGTCTGCCTATCTCCACCCCCTCCTTCTCTCTCTCTCTCTCTCTCTTTTTCTCTTTCTCTCCCCCCCTCTCTCTCTTTCTCTCTCCCCATCTATACAATATAAATATAGCTAGTTATACCCCCCTCTCACCTTCCTATCATCCTCCATGGCATTCCTCATCCTGTCCCTCTCATGGGTCACATGTCTCTCTATAAGCTCTGGCAGGCCCATAGAGTACTTGTCGCAGTCGTCAAACTTGTCTAGACAGTTCAGAAACAGCACGTCCATCTTACGGGTCCGGGTCAGAAGTTCTTTGACCTATAGAGAGAAATATGTTAATTTGTTGTTTTTTAAAGATGGGGAGAGAGAGAGGG